TGATTGCTCTTTTAGCGCATGCTGAGAGAAGTTGAGTAGGGAGAATAATATCCTTGAGAGAGGTGGGTATTGTTATGTTAAGTTCCAAACCTGTTGGCTGATCGGGCATTCAAGAATAAAGTGTCAATAGTTTGAAGTTACTCCTCACACCACTTGCAGTTACCTTAATTGTTGCAAACATGTGTCTTAGGCGATAGCCTAGTGGGAGGGTTCTGTGAAGAAGCCGCCAAAGGATATTCCAACCTAATTTTCTGATCATTGTTATGCAAAAAAACATAAATTTGCATAGCCTTAAATGTGAACGTGATTCTATTAATTTTAAAATAGATTTAAAAAATAATCCAACTAACCGACTCAATTTTCAGAATCCATGCTAACAAAACGAAAAATTAACTTTGCGTGGCCTTATAAATAAAATTTAGTGATAAATTTTTTTTTACTTGATGCTTTTAAATCAAGCTATCATAATAGTCTTTTTTTTTTTGTATATAAGTAGCTTTCGATTAAAGATTAAAGTACGTACTGTCTGTACGTAAGTACGTACGTACCTGATTTTAAAATTTTACCCATATTAACTGATTTTTGAAAATAACTGAATTTCTTATTACAGTACCTCGGTATATATCGTCTTTAAGGACATGATCAATCTTAACTTCAATCTTAAGATTTTGATTCTGGGTTATAAATTCTCTCGTCCTAATTGCTTCATCATCGTTAAATGTTAAAATTTCATTGAATGATGCAGGCCCACTTTGGTGTAATATGGTTTCTTAAATTTAAATATTCAGACGTTCTTCAAATAAATTCAAATATTCATTTGCCAAGTATCTAAATTTTTGGGTATTTTTTAATTATATTAATCAAATTTTAATTAGGTAAAAATTATTAAGCAATTTCTAATGATTGAAAATTATTGAAAGTTGTATTATGAAAATTATAATTTAACCCAGAAACATACCAGCACCTTCGTCGCAATCTTGGAATAAGCCTCTTCATCAGTATTTCACGAGTACCAAACGGTTTATACACCTTTTTACCAACTCATTGCTTCCTTGTACGATTCTATTCAACCGTCTTATCACTTTATAGCATTTTAATCCACTCTTATGGATCGGTCAAATTATGACTTTCTAGCAAACGAATATGGCTTTACGGTCTCCGACGCGAACCTCAAGAACTAATAAAACTTGCAATCATTTCACCTTTTTACCAAGGTTTACACTTCAAAGTCTTCCAGGAGTTATACCACATTTTCGTTCACCTAATTGCGGGAATATGTTTGATGTGAATTGTCTTTTAATTTATTTCGTTACAGGTAATGCTTTTATTGTCTTTTTTTCTCTCGCCCCTACATTAATTCTAGCATAATACTTTTTTTAAATGCTTTGAGTTGTGACACTTATT